TAGAATTATGTTTCTACAATGCCTTTATTCAAAAAAAAAATATTCATTATCAATAAATTAAATAAGAGAAATAATTTCATTAGTTATATTTTCTTTATTTTTCTCCAATATAAAAATTCTTTACATTCAAATTCATCAATTGATTATATTCACTACATTGTCCCTACAATGTCTTTATTCAAAAAAATTATTTCATTATCAATAAATTAATTAAAAGAAATAATTTTATTAGTTATATTGTCTTTATTCTTTCTCCAATGTAAAAAATATTATTTACATTCAAATTCATCAATTGATTATATTCACTACATTGTCTATTATCTTTTTTTGTGCAGTGTTTTTTTATTAAATACCAAATTTATAATACAAAATAATGCTATATATTTATTTACCAAATATTTTATTAATACCATGAAAAAATTAAAAATTATAATTAAGTCAATCATATTAACAACTTGAGAGATTTGTTGACAAAGAGAATATTCAAATCACACAACAAATTGAAGTAGGTAACTACCTCGCAATGTCCTTATTTGACAATCAGTAGTTAGCGGATTTGACCAGCGAATTATATCAACCGTTGTTAAACTATATTTTGAAAAATTAACTGTTTAGATTAGCATGTAACATGACCTAATGGTATACATAATAATAATAATAATAATAATAATAATAATAATAATAATAATAATAATAATAATAATAATAATAATAATAATAATAATAATAATAATGGATTCATTCATTGATATTGTATATATGTGCATTTATTAAATATATTAGAACCCTTTGCAACAAAAATACTTGGTAACTATTTTTAAAAAAAAGTTTAGTAACAATTATAATGAATATTCTATATTACATTGTATTCATATACTATGAGTTAGATATTTAAATAAACAAATTCGACATTAAATTACTTATGTATGAACTTCTCATATATACTCTTGCATTAATATACTTTTAAATATTTAATTAATTATAATCATTGGGCATTATCCCAATCGCGCAATGCGCGTAAAGAACTAGTATATATATATATATATATATATATATATATATATATATATATATATATATATATATATATATATACACACACACAGAATATATCATAGATATACCTCTTAGACAAATATACATCCTTACTTAGAAGTGTGGAATTGACGTTACTTTGTAGTGAAATCTTCATATCTGCTTCTAGATCAAACATGCATGTATTCGAAAACTCAACTCTAAGAAAAATAAAATTAAACTCAATTTTGGAGATTAAACTCGGTGAGATATGATAAAAATAATAATTTAGAAAATATGCAAAAAAAAAATTGATGGATTAAGTTCTTTGCTAGATGAATTCATTTAGACACAAACATGCTAAATAACATTCAATCTATTCATTAGAAATACATTTTTTGGTAGATCTATTCACTAATTAGTATAGATCTGAAATAACATTCAATCTATTCACTAACTGTTTACTTGAAAAACACAACTGTTAAATTTTCTTCCCTGAGACAATTAGAGAGTAGAAATTGTTTTGGTACACAAATAGATACAGTTAGCGAATTTCTTAGGGGCATAATACATAGATCTGAAATCCACGATGACCTAAAACAGAGGAAAACATGTGAAATATCCAAGCATTTGTATCAGTTTTAAGGAGTTATATCTCGACCCAAAAATAAAATATTTGAGATACGAACAAAGCTGCAAGGTAGATCTGAAAACTCAAAGCTAATAGGTTTAGATTTTCTCACCAATTTAGTTAGAGCATCCAATGATAAGTGTACTCATGCGTTTGTGCTGTCGATTTGAACATGTACTTCACTTTCCACATTCAACAAAAAATTAGGGTAGAGTCAGAAATTTCACTTCATCCGTGTAACTTTCTTAGCATTACAAATCCCGTGAAGAAGAAATAATAAAAAACATAGGACATAAAATATTATATAGAACCACGAATCTACATAGTCGAAAGCAATTTCTATTTCTATACGAAGCATACTGTGACTGAGACGAAGCATAGAGACATCAAGACTTGTATTGAATTTGAACAAGAACACATAGAATTCTAGAGACAGCAATCATTGAGAAATATAGGGATTTCGTGTAGTCAGCTAGCAGTAGATGAATGAAGAAATGGCTTCATCCCTCCAGAAATGAGATTCCGGCAAAATGACATACGCTTATGTGTTTTCTACCATTGATTTTTTCATCTAAACTAACCTTCATCACACGCAAAGTATCATTACCCGTGTATTCCTCAGATGTAGATAGGGTTGTAATATCTGGAGTCACATGATTTGTTGCCCCAGTGTTTGAAATCCATACATGAGAACCATTCTAATCTGGACTATTATTCTGATATGTCAAATTTGCTTGTTGAGGATGATCATAACGATTGTAACATGCCAAGGTCGTGTGACCGGTACGACCACAAATCTGACATTGGGTATGACCGCTGTTGCCACCTTGACCTCCGCGGCCACGTTGACCACCGTTGCGGCCTCCAAACGATCGGCCACCACCGCGATTGCCGCTGCGGTTCCGCCCTGCTCGTTGGGCGGTAAAAGCTGGCGGCAAACCACCATTAACGGCTCCTCGGATGAATTCTTGACCGCCTAGAAAGTCGGCTAGCTTTGTAAGGGTAACGGGCTAGCCCTGAACTGAAAGCAATGTGGTTAGGTTTTGATACTCCGGCCTTAAACCCTGAAACACATAAAGATTCATCTTGTCCAATCCAACCGGCCGACCGGCTAGGGATAGGTCCTCCATAATAACATGTGCACGACCAATATAGTCGGCAATCGAGGAATCTCCTTGACTAAGAGACTGAAGTTGGCCAAAGAGATTTAGTGACTGGGCACGAGATGCGGAAGCCAAAGACTGTTCGATTGACTCCAAAACTTCTTGCGACGTACAACGTCCAACAGCAAGATGCATAACTTCCTTAGAGAGAGAAGAAATCAACATAGACATATTAGCCCGGTCATGACGAAACCACACCGTGTAGGCGGGGTTAGACGCCGACAGGACGCCATCGGCGGCGGGGAGGAATGTGGCAAGACTAGACCTGGAAATTCGTGTATACGGGTTCGTTAACAGGTTGACATGATAACGACACGAACACGATAAGACTAAACACGAACACGACACGTTAAGACTAGCGGGTTGAAATTTTTAACACGAATACGATTTGTAAACATGTTAAACGGGTTGACACGATAGACGGGTTTTGTTAATAGGTTTCGGGTTATGTCTACACGAATATGACACGAAACCTGTTTAAACTCACTAAACATATTTATATATTATTAAAATTTGAAGTAAAGTTATATATATTAAAAAAAATAAAATAGAACCTACAATTTAATCCATCAAACAAACTAAAAAACTATTCAATTCTTAACTTTCATAAAACGACGAAATAACATCCAAAAATCATAGTTAAAGAAGTCCATAATAATATTTTAGAATAAACTTAAACAATAAAATTCAAATTGCATATTGATGAACATCAATAATTGGTGTAAGGTCTTAGCCTAATGTAGTAAATTCATCCATAATCATATTCATGATATCTTTTGTAATCTCATTCAAGTCGGTTTGTCCTGAATCTACAAATTTTCAAAATATAGAATTATAAAATTACAATATGTAAAACTCCCTATATGTAAATCTGTAATATATTTATTACAGATTATTTGTAATAAATATATTTCAATTTGCAAATGTACATACAATAATATGTGTAATTTTGCATTTTCTCTTTTTAAACAGATTAACTGGATTAATCAACTGACGAAATGGACTGACTGATTCAGCAATGAAGCCAGTCAGTAATAACAAATCATAGAGAAGTTTAAAGACAAGATAACAGCACAAAGCCAACGACACAGAATGTTTACCCAGTACGATACAGTGTGTATCTATGTCTGGGGGACGATCACATAGGCGTCCAATCCACTAAATCATAATCCAATGTACAAAGGTAGATATACAATAATCTTACCCAAGTGCCCCACACAAGGTACATACCCAGTCTACACAGGTTTAGTGGATTGTTGAAGATGGAGAGCCATGCATACAGAAGTCCAATGAAATCCCTTCACTTGGAGAGCCCACTCTGATGCAGTCCACTTCAATGACGCTCTTTACAGTTGTTCCCACAACAGTGTGATCACAGTGTCCTTTCGTTTAAGCAGCAGTGATTCTTCTCAAGTTCGTCATCTTAGTCACCATGAACATGTTGTATTGAGAAGAGGCAAGGTAATCAAAGATCTGATCTCATAAAATTGATGTGGAGTGTTTCTTCTCTCTAAAGGCGTAACCCAAATTCTCTTAGAATGAGGGTACTTATAGATCCGCCAATAGAACACTCCTTCCATAGTTGTCTTTGATTGTAGATGGTAGGACAATATTTGAAGAATGCAATCTTAAAGATTCGGTCCATACCTTTCCAAAGCAGATACGCTGATCTTCCTTCCAAATCTGTCTTCTGTAAACTGCGTACAACTTTTAAGTAAACAACTTCTTAAATCAGATCTTCAGTTTCAGTTCTTCTGTTGTTGCTTCTGATTGATCAGTCTTCTGTAAAGCTGAACGGACACGAAGCTAAACCTATCTTAGTATGCCATAATAATATTTCCAATTATACGATGGGGTTTTTGAACAATTAAAAACACTAACAAACTCCCCCTTTGGCTATTATTTGGCAAAACAACTCGACTATGTAGAAAGACATAAACATAAGGAACTAAGATAGGTTATCATAAAGAAACAACCCATGAGTCTGATCTGATTACATAGCAGAACGAAAACCAAAACACAAACACAGCATACATGTCATGCTGGATAAAAAAAAACAGTCTAAGAACATTCTTCAAATAAGTAGTGGTGCCATGAAAACAATCAACGCCCAGCCAGGGCCAAAAGGTACAAAAACAACAACTCCCCCTGAGTTCATACTACTCCCCCTTTTTGCCAATGAGAGCCAAAGGTCATGCATTGGAGGGAGTGTCACTATCGGATTTCGCAGGTTCAGTAGCAGCAGCAGATTCAGATAGGCTTAAACGAAGAAGAACGGTTGCCAGCTCAGTACAGGCCCCAGTCAGTTGTTTAGCAATTATACCGTGAACTATCTCAAGCTCAGAGACCCGTGCCTTTAACTGAATGGAGAGATGAAGATCTTTGGCATGGGGCGAGTCATCAGCCACAGTATCAGCTTCAAAATTGGGGGGGGGGGGGGGGGGGGGGAGGCAGTCACCGGTATAACATCTTGAATGTGATCTCCAGTCAAAAGACGCCGATCAACAGTATAGAGCAGAGTTGGACTTATCACTTCACTCGGCATAGGCTCAAGACCCTGAGTTGTAAGAATGCCATAAATCAGATTAGGAAAGGGTAGCCTTACTTTCTGCTCTCGTGGATGGATCATGGTGAGGATGTGGTTGTAAATCCAGTTTCCCAGATCAATCGGCATCTTTGTTCCAATTTGGTACAAGAAACCAGCCAGGTGCTTACCAACCGTGTGGAAGTGAGCTGATGGGAGCCAGTTATGAAGAGCCAGACGATGCAGAATAACATATCTGGATGTGAGTTGAGAGCTCTGCAGATAATCCTTGTCACCCGTAGGCCAAGTGTCAATCTGTCCACCCGTTAGAGTCTTGGCCACCAAGTTCCAGTCTGTAATTGCCTCTTCTTGCACAGTAGTCAGTCCATAGTATTGGTTGATCATGTCAGGCCCAAAGATGTACCACTTCTCTCTAATGAAAATCTGCATTGGTCGTGGCCCGGTTAAGATGTCAATCTCGTCATTGAGATTACAATAGAATTCATACGTGAGGAGCTTTGAGTATGGGCAGATGGCTGTGACAGTCTTCAGCAGCCCTACTTCATTCAGCAGTGGTTGAATATCACATACAGAATTCAGTTGATTCTCATCAACAGATTGTTGAACAATAAGATCTCGTCTAACCATAGTGGATCATTTTCCCTGAGCAGCTGGAGAAACAAACTGAGGCTTGTAAACAGATGTGTCAGACCCTTCAACAGGTTGAACTTCAGGAGTTATGCTTCGACCTCTGGAACGTGTGGATGGTTTACCCTTTCTAGCAGATGATGTAGGTACAACAGCAAGTTGAACAACCGTAGGGCCCTTTTGTTTAACAGAAGACCGTAGAGTCTTAAACACTTGTTGAACAGGAGGATTTGTCTCAGGTTTTGCAGACTCAATAGACTTCCTTTTCTTCTCTGGTTGATCTACATCAGCAGTGTCCTCACCAGAGTCAACCACAACCTTCACAGGAACATTCTTCCTTTTCAACCTTCTTGTCTCCTTGGATGGGGAGTGGACAGGAGACACAGAGTGACTAGAATCAGATACGTGAGCAGATGAACCACCAAGGAGATTAATGACCTCTCGTATTTTGAATGTGGTGGAATCAAGATGAGCAGTACCCTCAACAGTTGGAACCCGAGATGTAGGGGCTTGGGTGCCATAGACTTCAGCCAGTATTTTTTCATCTTCACTTGAGGATTCAGAAGGGTGAATCACTCTGTAGGGTTCTGGAATGGAGGCAGCAGGAAGACTAGCAAAATGCCTAACATGATCAAGACTCTTCGCCAAAGATGAGGAGGTGTAGACTGGAATGCCAACCATTTTCTTGGGTTCACGAGGGCTTGAGGATTACACATTCTCAATAGCACCAGGCATATCAGAGGGATTAACAGAGGATTCGACTTCTTGTGGGACATTAGCAACAACAGCAGGAGACAGAGAAATATTATTAGACTCAAACACAACCAAACTTAGATTGTTGGGCTCATCAATCGGTTTGTCTTCCTCTACAGATGCTTTAAGCAACTCACTATTCAAGGGATCAGACTTCACAACAGGTAAGCAAGGAGGATCAACAGATACATATGATTTCTCAGGGCTCCCAAAGGTTCGAACGGCTCTGATACCAATTTGTAACACCCCAAAATTTGACTTCCAAAACTTTCATTAAATGACATTACAATTCAAAACATAGTATAAATAGAATTACTAAAACTAAATTTTCTTATAAATTGTACTTCAATTCAAGTCTCAAATAATTCGTAATTCAAATTCTAACACTTATAGGGTGCTACCGCCACATCTAACCTATCAAGACTAGATGCAAGGCTAATCACAAAACCGTCAAATACTTCATTTACATCTATTACATTTATTCTCTTCTTCTTCTAACGCGCTCTTTCACTTCAAGCTTCATAAATCCCTGTTCACATTTTTTTTCAAGAAACACATAACAACAGTGGAGATTAGCAAAACATGCTAAGTAAGAGTTACTTTGCCGGGAAACAAATTTTAAAATAAAATAAGGTACATTACTTTCAAAAATAACTTTCCTTCAAAATCACTTACAAAACCTTCTTCATTTCATCAACAACCAATACACACATCAAAATGTACCTTTATATATTTAATCCATTTTCCACATACAAATAATCATTTTGGAAGAACATCACCACAATAATAATTAGCCAAAAGACTTACTTAAAAACCGATATGTGCTTTTAAAATATTTGATTTCTCTTTTCAAGTAAATACAAGTTTTTATGGAAAATCACCAATCACCTAAATGGGCACGAAATCACAAATCCGGTAACATAAATGGGCATAAGATCCCATAGCCAATATAAATGTGCGTAAAATCCCATAGCCAATATAAATGGGCATAAAATCCCATAGCCGATATAAATGGGCATAAGATCCCATAGCCGATATAAATGGGCATAAGATCCCAAAGCCAATATAAATGGGCGTAAAATCCCATAGCCAAAATAAATGGGTATAAAATCCCATAGCCAATATAAATGGGCATAAAGTCCCATAGCCAAAATAAATGGGTAAAACAACAAACTTTATATATATAGACAGTAATACATATTTATACTAAAGAATGAGAAATTATTTATTTATTTATTTATTTATTTATTTATTCCATACGGCAAATACATATATATCCAACGAAACACATATTTATTTGTTTCTTGTAAAGCCACCTTCACGTACTACCACAAAACAATTAAATATATATTTATATAAATAAATATTATTTAATATTGTTAAACATAGTAATAATCTTATAAAACAGAAAAATTATAGAAAAATTGCATTTAATAACCATTTTAATAATATTCTACTTCTTTCAAAATTCATAATCCAAATCATTTTCTTTTATGACCATCAACCAACAAAATTCATAATTTTCTTTTGAAAACGATAAGGGCAAAGTAAAATGGAAACAACCACTTACTTGAAGAGAGTTCCACTTAATTTTTCTCTTAGCCATTTAAGAATTCAAAGGCTCCTCTTTAGCTTGAAGGAACTTCTTGGCTCTTGAAAGAATAAAGATTTTTTTTTTTTTAATTTGGGAATGGGGAAATGAAGAAGAAGAGAAGAGAGATTTTTTTTTTTTTTCCTTTGAGAGAATCGGCTATGTGAAGAAAATGAAGAGGAGTAAGGATTATATCATTATCTTCACTTCTATCTTTAGTAAATCAATATTGAATGGGAGAATAATCTAGATTGTAACTCCCAATCTATAAATTGTAACTCCTAATCGAAATCAAAACAATTATAATTATATTATATATAAATAATTTAGACTATACTTTATATACTATATTAGAGAATTGTTACCCTGATAATATATATACATAAATATATATACTACACGCCACATACACATATACTTCAAATATTCCATATATATTTTACTTACATACAAAAATAATATATGTTACATACAAATAATATATGTAAATACGTTACACATATAATACATAATACATAAGTATATAAAATGCACATATATAATTTTACAATCCAAAATAATATAACACACTTGTTCTAAAATAATTAGTTTGTAGTTCAAAAATAATATATACATACTTATGTACAAAATAACAATTATACACTTATTATTTTTATTTTTTTTTATAACGACAATAATAGTAGAGATGAAATTTTCTAATGGCTCAATCAAAATGGCTTGATCAGAAAGAAGTAATTGAGAAAAGGAAGAATTTCAAATTTTAGAGAGGCTAGAAAATCCGGGTGTCACACTAAAGCAGGCACATTCTCAGAATCAACATGAACAATAGATGGGGCAGCATTAGACACTAGATTCTCAGGTTTATCAGGTGAAATTTCTATAGGAGAGTCAGAGGAATTTGACCTGTTTCGCAGAATCTCAATACGATGCCTGGCTTCATTCTGAGCAGCCTGAAGATACAGGGGTTGAGCAATTTCTCGACGACGGGAGATTTCTTCAGACTCAAGGGCTCTTTGAGCAAAGTAATGGAGGAACGCCCCAGCGCGATTTCCATCCGAGGGTTCTGGAATAGATGCCCGATAAATGTCATCACCTGCTTCGGAGGCCAACAGCAATAGTTCACTGGTGTCATCGTCTGACTAGTCTGCATAAAACTCTGGATAATCGAACAGTACAGTGACAATGATTTCATCTCGGAGAATGGGATCAAGCTTCATTTTTTTCTTCATAGCCAACATAAGCAAGGTTTTGACATGTTTGGTGGCTGTTTCTTGTGAATGCACCTTTCTTCCAAGCTTGATGATCATATTACGAACTGCATCCGCCATTGATGAGAGATTCGAGAAGACGAAGTAGTAAACCCTAGATAGGAGATCAAGGAGAATACAGTCTGTGTGCAGAGAGAGTCTCTTGTGTGTTCTCTCAAGTCTTACTCGATACTCGATTATAAGCCCAAGGGAGAAGAACCCCAATAAATGCAACTAGTCAGAATACATGCAGAGCTGATGTGATTGACGCAACGGTATACCTCCTTTTTAGGAAAGAAACGGATGCTAGGCATATTTCAAATTTGAAAAAGCCTAATTACTTTTATGGTAATTTAGGTTAAGATATACTCTTAACAAAAAGAAGGGAGTTTTTAAAAGGAAGTCAAAACTGAAATTTGACCAGAATACGTAAACATTGCACTCTCCTTCTGATTGACGATCTGCCCTATTAGTCAATTCTGCAGATTCCCAGAGCAGATCTGAGAATCTCAAACTGGTTTGCGTCTAGGGGCTTAGTCAGGATATCAGCCAACTGTTTCTCTGTTTGAATATATTCCAATTCAATCTCCTTTGATTCTACCAGATCTCTGATGTAGTGATGCCTTATATCAATATGCTTCGTTCTGGAGTGTTGAACTGGATTCTTTGAGATATTAATAGCACTGACATTGTCACAATAGAGTGTCATAATTCCTTGAGTAAGACCATAGTCTAATAACATCTGTTTCATCCATACTAACTGAGTACAACATCCACCAGCAGCTATGTATTCTGCCTCTGCAGTACTTAAGGAAATTGAGTTCTGTTTCTTACTCAGCCATGACACCAGCACCAAGTTCTTACCAACAAAGAAGCAACCACCAGATGTACTCTTACGGTCATCAATGTTCCCTGCCCAGTCAGCGTCACAGTATGCAATCAGACTCAGTTCACTGTCCTTGGAGTACCATAGACCATTAGACCATATTGAATCGTTCCTTTTATATATTTCAGAATTCGTTTAGCAGCTATGAGGTGTGATTCCTTTGGATCAAATTGGTACCTTGCACATAATCCAACACTAAACATTATGTCTGGTCGACTAGCCATCAAGTACAGCAGACTTCCTATCAGGCTTTGGTAGACTGTGTTATCCACTGATACACTAGTGTCATCTTTGGATACTTTTGTGGAGGTGGAGATCGGTGTCCTGGATGGTTTACATGATTCCAGATCAAACTTCTTGACTAAATTCTTAGCATATTTCTCTTGTGAGATAAAGTACCCTTCAGAACTTTGCTTAACTTGTAGTCCTAGAAAGTATGTCAGTTGACCAACCATTGACATCTCAAATTCTTCCTTCATAACTTTTACTAACTCATATGTGTATTTCGTAGAGTTGATCCAAA